TTTATTTAACATATCTTTAATGTTGTTGGGTATAAACCATTGAAGCCAGGAAATTGATAAATAACCTTGGGTAATAATATAACAATAATTTGTTTCAGTATTACCGTACTCAGAATCCATCAGAAATTTTGTGAAATGCAGTGCATTTGCGCAAGGATTGTGGTCTAATGGTCTAATTACTTAAAAATCAAAACAGACTTTATCGATTGCCACGTTAGACGAATTTTACTCATGAGTGACTTAGGCTATGTTCACGCTAAACTCAGAGACCACGATCTATCTCACCTAGAATCAACCGGCAAAGCGGTTATCCTGAGGTAGGGGCCCTAAATTTAGGGTTTCATATTCGCAAATTCGTAGCCGTGTGACTGCCGGATGTCATTCGAAAGCGAATGTTGTGACGGTGATTGGAAATTCTTGAATATACGACCGCAATTAAGGCTGGTTTCCATTTAATCATCTCCATTCAATGTGTCGTGAACAGTAATTTAAACCCGTGACAAATAGTTCAAATATAAATTGATCTTCATTATTTCAGAATTTAAATCGGCAATTGTTGACTGCACAGACATAGAAATTTTCTATCACATCAGCCAAGGAATCAAGGAACGGGGAACGAGGAACGAGGAACGGGGAACCGGAAATGAGAATCTCCGGAATCTTTAAAACCCGGAACGAGAATCTCCAGAATCTTTAAAACCCGGAACGAGAATCTCCGGAATCTTTAACTGAACCCGGAATGAGAATCTCTGGAATCTTTAAAACCCAGAGTGAGAATTACCGGAATCTTTAAAACCCGGAACGAGAAACATGTAAACAGAAGGCGCAATACGATAAATCCCGTCCTAAACAACTTGTGTCATTCGATATCAACTTTTTTTTCCATAAAAACAGTTAATTCATGATAAAATGAGCCTGTCTCTTGAATTCTTTCGTTGGAATTTTCCAGATTTGGCCTAAAACGTGAAAGAATTATATTTGAATAGCCATGCTACTTCGCACACAATTTGTTAAATCAATGTCAAGTCTAAAATATCGTGAAAATCAAGCGTTATCGGAATGCTGCTTATCCAGGCGAAATATTGGACCATCACCGAAGCCCTATTTTCTCTAACAAATGCCTTTTCGCAACGGTCCTCCCCAAGCACCCCTGCGCGATCGCACATCTTAGGCTCTTAGCCACAGATCTCTATATTACGCTGAATGCAGCCTTTATGTTTTCCAATAAAGCGCCAGGGAACGAGGCTGTCTCATTGGTTAGACAGCGAGGACAAGGACGACGATGAGGCGAAGGAAAAGGCATTTGTTAGAGGAAATACGGCTTCGGTGATGGTCCAATATTTCGCCTGGATAAGCAGCATTCTGATAACGCTTGATTTTCACGATATTTTAGACTTGACATTGATTTAACAAATTGTGTGCGAAGTAGCATGGCTATTCAAATATAATTATTTCACGTTTTTGGCCGAATCTGGAAAATTCCAACGAAAGAATTCAAGAGACAGGCTCATTTTTTCATAAATCGACTGTTTTTATGGAAAAAAAGTTGACATCGAATGACACAACTTGTTCAGAACGGAATTTATCTTATTGCTCCTTCTGTTTACATGTTTCTCGTTCCGGGTTTTAAAGATTGCGGAAATTCTCATTCCGGGTTTTAAAGATTCCGGAGTTTCTCATTCTGGCTTTTAAAGATTCCGGCGTTTCTCATTCCGGCTTTTAAAGATTCCGGAGATTCTCCTTCCGGCTTTTCAAGATTCCGGAGATTCTCAATCCGGGTTTTAAAGATTCCGGTGATTCTCACCCCCCGTCCCCCCTTCCTGGTTCCTCGTTCCTGGTTTTAAAGATGGCCGCCACCATGACATGCTCGCCACACTTTTTAAATGGCAACCAGGTATCAAATTCATATTGCCTGTAGTTTCTGCCCTGCGGTGTTGTAGCTAAACTATTCTTCAAAGACAGTTTCGATGCTGTCTCGTTACTTTTATTTTAGAATATTGTATGGTATGATTTTTTTAAAGGCAGTTAATGGGTCAATCTCGTTCGGTGCGCTCACTCGTGAGAAATTGTTTTTGACAAGAGAACATAAATTCCATATCCTCGAGCGAACCGTGTAATGTTTTCATTGTTTTGTTTATTATATGGATTAGATCATGAGTGATTATACAGAAATAAATAAATAAGCCTAAACATTAAAGTAGAATAAATTTTACGTATTTAAAGATGTCTTTCAATTGTTTTTGTTTGTATATATCCAACGTTAATTCCGTTTTATATGACGAGCCAAAGACCATTTGTATTTTCACAACAACAGCAATGGATACAAGAAATTTTACAATTTCTAGCGCACATTGTGTAATTTATAGTGGCGAGTTCTACGAGTGTTTTAGTTCTAATTTATATAAATTATTTAATACCCCCATCCATATAATAAAAGAGGATAATTTCCTCTTCAGAGCCCAGCTTAAGTTAATTTCATTTAATGTAGTAATTGTTGTGAACATGTCAAGATGGTTGATCTGTTAAAATATTGCTGTGTGTTTGCAGTTAACAATGACAATATACATAAGGACTAAATTGCTTGGCAAAGCTTAATGCTGTGGGAAAACGGGCGATGTTTACTTCACTTTTATGACTGTATTGGTTTCTGCAAAATAGAAACATTTATGAGCTTTCGACTCATTCGAGTCATTTCATAAATCATTAGCTTTGCTTGAGTTCTGGCTTAGGAAATATTTCTCTTCGTTTGAAATAACGAGGGGTTGTTTCATGTATGTATTTCTAGTAAAATTCTATTATGGGTTTTAAAAATTAAATAATATAGAAGTTTGCTTTTTAGATAAAGATGCACATGCAACGTGCCATTTTCATATGAAGTCTGAATTGTTTTAGGCATAGCCGTTATGCTCAAAGATGAGAATAACTGAATCCACGGAAAATGATAATGTTATCATATCCCGGCGTGAGGAGAGTGACATAACTTTAACTTTGACAAAAAAGAATCGTACAGCAACTTCAGGAAATTAGATTATATATCTGCGTTGGGAAATAAACAATCCAAGCTTGTTGTTAATGAACAAAAGGTAGAACCTCGTGGAGAGAGCATTGAAAACGAAAAATGTCATAATGGTATGAAATTTTATATAATGGAGAGATTTATAATTAGTTTGACTTTTGTCCTCAACCGCTAACAACAAATCGTGGCTTGAGGTTGAAATTTTGCCGTTTCACGTTTGCGGTTCACGTTTTAAACCGCTGGACATGTATTTTCACGTAGTTTATTTAATAACACGACTGGCAATATATGGCGGTTTACCATGCATGATATCGTTGTTCCGCCTTTAGTCGATAGTCAGTTATTAAAATGGAGTTTCTTCTCAACTTTTCCAGGTGTAAACGACTTTTGATTTTAAAAAAATTGAGGCATTAGAAATAGCTAGCTGCAATTTAACTGCGAAACTGTCTACCGCATGCTAATTTTGAATCGTTGTAACATAAGGTGTAGGTAAATGACTGCTAACTAAATGTCAAATTTGCAACAACGGCAACGTGAAACCGCTAACGTGAAACCACGTTTGCGGCTTGCCGTAAACGTCTAACTAAAACTCTCTAATAAGGAAACGCGCAATTTCATTGGTTACACTAGGCGTACAAGATGAGCCAATCCTGCACGAAAAGTTTTATCGTAGTTATTTTATAAAGGAAATACTAAATGCTTCCTCGACTTTCGAAAAGCGTAACGGCTCGGACTTTTTCACGCTTTCCAAAAGTCTCGCAATATCCTGCGTGGAGTATCACGCTATCCTGCACGGAGACCATTTATAGCACTCCTTTATTATAGAACATTTATCTAAGAACCGACCTGGTTTGAATTAATTGACTACACAAGGAAAAATAAACAAAACCGCGACGTTTCAAGCAAAGAATTCGAAGCAAGGTGAAAAACTTCCCTTGCTCGAAACGTGGAAGTTATCTCTGCATTCTTCAAATATTCGGCTTATCGTCTTAATATTAACATGACAAAATTTCTGGACGTTAATTGGTCAAGATGAGTACAGTAATTTCACCAATTACAGTACTGTGCAAAAGTTTTAGGCCCCCAGTCAAATTGTCACTTGTTAGTAAAATTTATGGTATTGCAAGACATGCTTGGTAGAAAGACTTGTAGTGGTCTTGCACTCGGTACAGCCACCATGAGAGACCATTATTGCGGCACAGTGCCCACTCATTGACCTAACAAGCTTGTTTGTTACATCTGGATCAACAGCCTCACGTGATGCGAAAATGGTCTCTTTCATTCTGGATGGAAAGCCCTTGTAGATTTCGTAACTAGAGGTGAGGCAATTTTAGACAATGTACTTACAAATCGATCGGATCTGTTCGGTAAATGCGTCCCATATAACATGTCAATAAAGACTGATCATACGGCTGTCATCCTGCCTGCAGGAACTAAACTGAAACCGGTTCGAAAAAACGTCCGTATTCGTGATTGCAGAAAACATAGGAAAAATGATTTTTATCAAGCGCTGGCTCGAGAAAATTGGGATAACATCCTAAATGCATCTAATGTTCAATTGGCAGTGAAGGAGTTAGAAAGAACGATTCACATGCATATGGATAAGAGTATGCCATTTAAAACGGTTCGCATGTCATCGCGCGACCCAGTATGGATGACACCCTTAATAAAATCATTAATGAGAATAAAATCGAGAGTATCCTCCAAGAATGTAGATCGAATAAGTGAAATCAACCAGAGAATATCGGAAATTATTAGCCGAAACAGAAGAACACTTTTGTGTGATCCCATCGGATCAGGCGAATGGTGGAAAAATGTGGATTACATCTCACAGCGTCGACGAACATCAGTTAATGTAAATCTCGATAGACACTCGCTTATGGAATTGAATGATTATTTTGCTAATCTGTGTCAAGACACAGCATATGTGGAGCCGGCTCCAATGGTGATTTGTGAGGAGGAGAATGTTCCAGAGATCTCGGAAATAGAAGTGTGGAATAATTTAAGGCATTTGAAGAAAACTGCTACTGGTCCAGACCTAATACCATACTGGGTGTGGAAGGAACATGCGGAAATAATAACACCTATTATTCATAAAATCTGGAATTTATCCTTGAAATCTAGTACGTGGCCTTCTTCGTGGAAAAGGGCAAACATTAATCCGTTACCCAAAGTTGATATGCCTAAAGACAAGACTGAATATCGAGGAATTAACATTACATCAGTTATTGCGCGTGCTTTCGAGAAATCTGTGTATAACATACATACTCGTGATATTGTTGAACAGTCTTTAAGTTCTACCCAGTTTGCTTATCGGAAAGGAGGAAGTTGTGAAGATGCATTGTTGAGTATGCAACATGAGATTTACAGTTATCTGGATAGTCCAAATTGCAAAGCTGTTAGATTTTTCACGATGGATTTTAGCAAAGCATTCGACAGTGTAAGACATGAACTCCTGGTCCTGTAACTCAAACGCTTACCGTTAAATCCATATATCATTAATTGGTATTTAAGTTTCTTAAAAGACCGACAACAACGAGTTGTTTACAATAACTTCAACGGAGAATGGAAACTTGTTAACAAGGGCACAACCCAGGGAAGTGTCAGCGGACCGTATCTTTACAATGTCTTTATGAATGATCTGGAATTAGATTTGGATGGCAGACCCGCTCTCTTCAAATATGCGGACGATTCCAACACAATTGTTCCAGTGTGGAAAAATAAAGAATGTCGAACTGATTTGGTGGGGAAATTTTTAACTTGGTCTCGAGATAATGACATGAACTGTAATCTAGAAAAATGTAAAGAACTGATATTTCGAAAGAAGGGATTCAATCAAGTTATTTCATCGGTTTACAACATTCCACAATGTTCAGATATTTCCGTTTTAGGAATGACACTTCAAGAAAATTGTAAATATAGTTTACATATAAAAGCTAAACTACTCAAAGCAAATAGATGCTTGTATGTTATAAGATCTTTGCGTAAAGAAGGTGCATGTCAGGAAGAAGTAGATAAGATTTTTAACAGCTTGGTATTACCCATTTTCACCTATTGTCTTTCAGTATATGGTGCGTCTGATTCGGACTTGACTGTTGTACAAAAGTTTTTAGATAGATGTTTCAAAAGACGCTATGTCTCCCATTGTATCAATTTACGCGAACTTTTGGAAGCTAATGATAAAAAACTTTACAATAAATATACTTCAATGATTGAACATCCTTTAAGTAAGATTTTACCTAAGAAAAAGAAAACGAATTATCACCTTAGAAAACAGAGCATTATTCATCCCAAGATTAATACAAATAGATTTAAAAACACTTTTGTAAATAGACTCATTTTAAATTATAATTATAGTAAAGGAATTATTGTAACTTAAGATATGTACCTTTTATCTTAAGACCATTAAAAGATTGATTGATTGATTGATTGATTGATTGATTCTTTCAGATGTCGAGATGGGCTTCTATCTGACCTCTTTTTGACTTATTCCCAAAAATGTTCAATGAGGTCTACGTCAGCAATCTCTTATAACCCTGGGCTGGTCAATATCACTCTCTTTCAGGCTCTTTTCTAAATGACATGGTGCCCCCATCTTACTGGAAGATATAATCTCCACCACAAAGCCATCTCATCTATTAGGAAAGTTCTAGATACAAGCCAAACATACCATTTTCCGTATCTAGTCGAAAATTTACGATCTTGGGACTTTCTAAAAGGTGGAGAGAGCTTTGCGGTTGAGACTTTATCTTTGAACAAGATAGGGCACTATGGGACAGAGAAAAAAGCCCCACCGAAAGAAATATCAATCAGTTCAGGGCAACGACAGAATTCTGACCTAAACCTGTTCGAATATCTCTGGAAATAAGTGAAGAAGAGGTCAGATAGAAGACCATCTCGACATCTGGAAGAATGAAAGAGACCATTTTCACAACACGTGAGGCTGTTCATCCAGATGTAACAAACAAGCTTGTTAGGTCAATGACTGGGCATTGTGCCGTAATAATGGTCCCTCATGGTGGCTGTACCAAGTGCAAGACCACTACAAGTCTTTCTATCTAGCATGTCTTGCAATACCATGAATTTTACTAACAAGTGACAATTTGACTGGGGGCCTAAAACGTTTGCACAGTACTGTATATATCTTTTGTAATGTTTGGAAAATGCCGCAAGTTTATTGGCAACCCTTTCAAGTTGTAATTGCACTTTGGCTCATAGCCAATAAAAATCACTCTAGTATATACAACTGGGCAATCAGCATTCAGGAAACATGCAAAAATAATATGAATTTGTACCAAATTGTACCATTTACCAAGCATTGTTCTGATAAATAGGCAAGTGGGGAGACAGGGCTGCATTCTGCAGTTATTGAAGGTACGCTAGAAATGGTAAAAGATCTTGTTGAAAATGGTGCTCATGTAAATGGAAAGGACACTAACGGGTGGACAGTGCTGCACTATGCTGTTACTAAAGATAAACTAGAAATCATAAAATATCTTGTTGAAAATGGCGCTGATGTAAATGGCAAGTCTACTATTGGTGGATGGACAGTCTTACACTATGCTGTTAGTAAAGGTACACTAGAAATTGTAAAATATCTTGCTGAAAAGGGCGCTGATGTGAAAGGCAAAAACACTGAAGGTAGGACGGTTCTACAGACTGCTGTTACTGAAGGTACACTGGAAATGGTAAAATACCTAGTTGAAAAAGGTGCTGATGTAAATGGCAGAAATACTAGCGGGCGGACTGTGCTGCACAGTAGTGTTACTAAAGGTACGCTAGATATAGTGAAATACCTTGTTGAAAATGGAGCAGAAGTAAATATCAGGGATACGTACGGGTGGACAGTACTGCACAGTGCTGTCACTAAAAACACGCTGGATATAGTAAAATACCTTGTGGAAAAAAACGCTCATGTAAGTGGCAAAAACATTGATGGGTGGACAGTCCTGCACAGTGCTGTTACCAATGGTAAGCTAGAAATAGTAAAATACCTTGTTGAAAACGGCGCTGATGTTAATTGCGAGGATAGTGATGGAAGGACAGTGCTCTACTTTGCTGTTACTGAAGGTGCGCTGGAAATGGTAAAATATCTTGTTGACAGCGGCGCTGATGTAAACGGAAAGAATACTAACGGGAGGACAATGCTGCACAGTGCTATTGAAAAAGGTACGCTAGAAATAATAAAATACCTTACCGTAAACGGAGCTAATGTAAATGGCAAGGATGATGACGGATGGACTGTGCTGCACAATGCTGTTACTAAATGTCCGCTAGAAATTGTAAAATTTCTTGTTGAAAACGGCGCTGATGTAAATGGCAAGTATACTGACGGATGGACAGTATTGCACTATGCTGTTAACAGGGGAACGCTAGAAATGGCAAAATATCTTTTGAAAAAGGGTGCTAATGTAAATGGTGAGAATACTAACGGGAGGGCTGTCTTGCACAGTGCTGTCGCTAAAGGTGCGCTAGATATAGTGAAATACCTTGTTGAAAACGGCGCTGATGTAAATAGCACGGATATTGACGGGAGGTCAGTTCTACACAGTGCTGTTACTGAACGTAAGCTAGACATGATAAAATACCTTGTTGAACATGGGGCTAATGTAAATGGCAAGGATTCTGATGGGGAGACAGTGCTGCATTTTGCAGTTAGTGAAGGTACGCTAGAAATGGTAAAATATCGTTGGCGCTGATGTAAATGGAATAGATACTAACGGATGGACAGTGTTGCACAATGCTGTTACTGAAGGTAAGCTAGAAATCATAAAATATCTTGTTGAAAATGGCGCCAATGTAAATGGCGAGTATACTGATGGATGGACAGTATTGCACTATGCTGTTTCCAATGGTACACTAGAAATGGTAAAATATCTTGTTGAAAAGGGAGCTGATGTAAAAGGTAAAAATACTGACGGGTTGACAGTCCTGCACAGTGCCGTTACTAATGGTGCGCTAGATATAGTGAAATATCTTGCTGAAAAGGGCGCTGAAGTAAATATCAGAGATATTTATGGGTGGACAGTGCTGCACAGTGCTGTTAATGAAGGTGTGCTAGAAGTAGTAAAATACCTCGTTGCAAAGGGCGCTGAAGTAAATATCAGGGATATTTATGGGTGGACAGTGCTGCACAGCGCTGTTACTAAAGGTATGCAAGATATAGTAAAATACCTCGTTAAAAACGGCGCTGATGTGAATGGCGAGAATACTAACGGGTGGACAGTCCTGCACAGTGCTATTACTAATGGTTGGCCAGAAATGGTAAAATATCTTGTTGAAAATGGTGCTAATGTAAATGGCAAGAAGGCTAATGGGTGGACAGTGCTGCACAGCGCGGTTACTAAAGGTGAGCTAGAAATGATAAAATATCTTGTTGAACATGGTGCTGATGTAAATGGCAGGGATACTGACGGGTGGACAGTGCTGTACACTGCTGTTACGGCTGGTGCCTTAGACCTCGAATGTTCAGTTGAACAGGTTGCGAAGGATACTGCTGAGTGGAGGGATCTGCATCGTGTTTTCCATTTTTGTAAATTAGAAATTGTGAAATATATACTTGAACATGGCGCTGACATAAATTGCAAGGATGCTGATGGATGGACCGCCCTCCACGCTTCTGTCGATACAGGTGCATTAGAAATTGTCGAGTATTTAGTTGAGCAGGGTGCTGATATAGCACTTGAAAGTAAAATCAGCGCTCATACTCTTGGCACTGACATCATGAGAATGGCTGTTGTAAACAATTCAGTTGCTTTGGTCAATCTCCTGTTGCAAAGAAAAATCGTTGTGTGGAGAGCTGGAAAATTGCTTGTCGAAGGAAGGCAAATGAATCTTCTTGAATGGAGTATTTTCCTTGGGCATGATGAAATTCCGACTATTCTCAAAAGGTCCGTAAAACATCGTGAAAAAATTCAGGTGTTGAAAACAACGAACTGCAACCAGTTAGAAAAGGTAATTTCTCAATCACATATGAAGTTGTTATAATGAGTTTTGCATCATAAAGTTTAAAAGAAAGTTTACAGTCGGCAGCACCTTTTATATTCGTTTGCACAGTATAACTTAATAATTGTAACCAGATTCCGACTACGCAATTAGATTTTGTCGCCTAGGCCCCATTTCCTAATAGGTTTAGGTTATTCCATCTAATAACCATCTTCTACTCCAATAGATGGAAATACCGATGCAGGCTTTTCTCGCAAAGAGTCAATTCAAAATTGGCGACGGTTGTGGTGGTTCACGTGTCTATGTTGGTCTCATGAAGGATGGAAGTGAAGTTGCTGTTAAGAGAATCTTGGTGCAAAGTGAGGACAAAACAGTTGAAAACGAAAAGGAAATCATGAGTCTCATTGAGACGGAAAACTGTCCATTTATAGTGAGCTATCGTTATTTTCATTCTGACGATGACTTCATGTATCTTATTGTTGATCTTTGCGAGGAAAACTTGAGGGAACTTGTTCATGCATGCAGTATTAAGCATCTACAAGAGCATGGTCCACGAATGATTAGGGAAATTCTATCAGGACTTGAATTTCTTCATGGTAAAGGAGTATTGCACCGAGATTTAAAACCTTCAAACGTCCTGGTTGATATCGAAGGTCGCATGAAGTTGGCAGACTTTGGAATAAGCCGTGTCCTAGAAGACGATCAAACGACAGTTCAAACATTCGTGAGAGGCACTCCTGGATGGATGCCATCGGAAGTAACTCAAGCCATTGAGAAAAATGAGAAATGTCGTTTCAAAAGGAAATCAGATGTCCAGGTCGCGGGCATGATTGCTTTCTACGTCTTAACTAAAGGTGAACACCCTTTTGGTTCTTCCTTTGATCGAATGAGAAATATTTCGGAAGGGAACTCTGTCAGTTTGAAGAAACTTGGTGATCGCAAAGCTCAAAATTTTGTGTCGTGGCTGATCAATCATAAAATTGATGAGAGACCTTATGCTCACGAGGCGTTGAGGGATCCTTTCGTTGATGAACATTGACACAGTCGAAATACAGAACTTTTCTACGGAGATGAGACAATTATCGTCGAAATTAATTACGAAGGAGTTTCGTGGACTTGAACATATGATATTTGTCAAGAACATTGTATTCTGTTTTTAAACTTTGAAAAAATGAACGATTAAGGTTCAGGAGCCGGGGGGTGACACTTTTCACACAAAGAAAAAAAATCTGAATGCAAAAACAAAGGCCTATAATAACTGTAATTAAACAAAGACTGGAAACGAATTTAATAATGAAGTTATATCTTGAAATAAACTGTTAAATACCGGATAGTGCCAGAGCAATCATTGTTGTGCGACGATATTCACCCCCCTGTCAGAGCCCTGTCCCGTTACTCGCGCGAAATCTTTACGGATTGTTTTGAAAGACGCGTGTGCAAATTTTACAATTTGGTAAAATGCTGTATTTCTCATATTTTATCATCAACTTTACCATGTTGACCGCTGTGGTCAACTTACACTAAAACAGTTTACCTGTCCTAGTGTCCTAAATGAAATGCATACAAACTCATATACATGCAGGTCCTTGACTTATCAGGCGCATCAGCTTCAGTTGAGTGATATAAAAGGATCTCAAAATTGTTCAAATCGCTGGGATTATGAGATTAATTATTAACATGATAAATATACTGGATGCTGATTGGTCATGAGCAGTACAGTTATTATAAACAAAATGGCTGGATGTTATTTTGCAAACAAACTGAACAGCCCTAGAGGAAGAAAGGACAGAAAGCAAAAAGTAAAAAATAATGGATGAAAGTCAGGATGTCAAGCAGGCCTGTATTTTGACAAACGCTTGCATTAAAAACAAGGAGCCATTGACATTTAGAGCTTTTTAAACTATTAACAATAGGGATTTTAAAGTACACATTTTTGCTGTCGTTGAAGCTTTTACTTGAATATATTCATACATACTCAATATCTTGACGTAGTTAGATCCGCGAAAAAAACGTGCCGAAACCTAGAGTTGCTGGTCACCGGTGCCCCAGCGACTAATTACGTATACTAAAGGATCTCGACGGGGCGTTTCAAATGATATTTTATGTTAATAATAAGCAAATATGCATGCGGGATTATTAGGGATGTTTGAAAATTTTGCCAAATCCGACCCGCCCCGGCTTCGCCAGGCAAAGAATACGTATTACTAGAGATTATTTTTGTCCTCAAATTCTCCCAAAATGTACACGTCATGCATACGCCACCATACTTGCTGGAAACATGGCTGCCTGTGATTTCTTACTATTTCTGCCGTTTTAGCAGTAATTTGTTGGTTTTTAATTGATATAACTTAGTAAATTTATTTTCAAATTAATTTTTACCTCGCGAATGCCAAAACATTAGTGAAATAGGTCGCACGGCAGATAGCATAAAAGAAATGACGTAATGACAAATGACGAATATCACGCAATAAACATTCGCCAGCAAGTTACCACTGAGACGGACAATGTCCACCTTATTCATCTATGGCCTGGCTGATCCCGAAATGTACTCGCCATCGCATGATTGATTATCGTTAACAATTTTTATTGGCCAAAAGAAACTTCTAGGACGAACATGCGTTAAGTTGAAGTTAATTTACAAATCAATACAGAGTTAAAAAGTAAATTATATCGTCTGTAGTCTAAACGAAAAGTCTGAAAATGATGTAACTGCAGCAATTGTGTTGACATCGGAAATCTGTGTCCAACAATATACATATTTTCTTTCAATTTCAAACTAAAAATTTTAGGAACACAACATTCTCTGGCTCGTATGACCAAAAAAACCCGAAACCAGCCTACATAATAATTATAGGTATTAGAAATGGTTGTTATATGTGGTTAATTTTGCTTTCACTTACACCGTTACAGTACAAAATATATGAAATCCCAGAGACACAGAAATGTCAAGTTTATTAAACTTGCCTCAATATTCAATCTGATTACAGTAAATAATATTTCCAACGATATACACAGCTACTATTAACGCGGGTTCCTTTTTTTAAGGGAATCCTTGTAGATCTTTGATTAATGCGGCACTGATCTTGGCCGAACTTACAGAAGAGGAAATTGCACCACGCGGGGATGTTAAATTTTTATGGGGATTTTATTTGACTTGTCTGTATAAAAACACAGTTTATCACAAACTTTTGTACAGAGGATGTCTAAAGAATTCAAACTATAGTATACCTACATATACCAAAAAAATTCTTAAAGACGCGCTAGAAGACATATACCACGTGTGGATTTTTTTTACATCATGTATAGAAGAATGAAACAAAGAAACGAGATGCGTGAGCGTCACAGACGGCTCTTTCTACAAGGATAAAATGCTAAAAAATTAATATAAAAAAGACTATCAAGCAACTAATTCTGGCTTCCTATGATTCATGGCATAACATTTTCTCTTTTATTATATTCATTTTGAACTCTATGGTGTTTCTTGCAATCTGATTATTGACTTTTGATTTCACACCAAATTGCACTCCACTCAGTGCAATTACCATTATTTATTTTCTTTAATCGTCTTCACTATTAAATTCAGCTTTCCGTACAACCTTTCTCATTATTTCCCTAAAAAGGTACAATAACTGACTTGGAAATAAATCCGGGTAACACTACGAAAAAGCTCTACGAAACGACTATTTATCCATAATTATGAGAGGTTAAGATGCGGGGAGTTAATACTGAGTTGTTCACAGGTTTGCACAGACAAAATGTTATTTAATAATTTATAAACTGCTTTCCACTGTCACGTTTTTTATACGCATACGTATCTAATAAATTTATACGTACCTAATAAATTGAAAGAACTTAGTTTTGCGCATATTTTAGTATGCATTAATTTCTTGTCCCAATTTGTGAAATAATAACAATTTGGAAGCATTTAAAATTTTCCGCACGACAGTCAAAAGCAGCCCTAAGTCACGAGTTTGCTACAATTCGACAATTATGTAAAACGGTCTCACTCACCTAACCGAGATGAGCGTTTTTTCCTCGCTGTATTCCAACATCTCTGCAATGTAATGAACACAAACAATTAAACTAATAGAAAAGCTTTTAAGGTGGTTCGTAAATATAACGCGGCTCCCCACATTTTGCCCAAAAAATTTCCATGCACGAAACTCACTCCTGAGTGATATGAGGAGGAAATTTTCGTCAAATATGCGTGATATACTGTTATTATATTGTGGCTGGACAAACATGGTGGATTTCGTTTTAAAATAATACTTCTTGTAAAATGGTGAATAATGCGTCGCTTTACTGGAAGAAGTCAAAATTTTGGCATTCTTTTTGTTACCGAAAATGTAAACAAACTCGCTGATTGGTCTAAAACGAAATTTGCCCGGTTGGCTGGACAGAGTACACAAGTGGCACTGAAAATCTTTACTTATAGAACTTCTGACATTCATTGGGCGAATAGTAAAAATCGATCGAGAATGATTTTCAACTCGAATTAACTTTTACATCTTAGATGCTAGCGGAGAGAATCAATTTAAAAAAGTTCAATGACACAAATAATGAAAGGTAACTCAGTTAATTACGTCAGTGTTTTTTTACAATCTGTAAAAAGTACCAAGTACTAAATATACTAACTATACTAACATCTAAGCTCTTCATTTGCCCAAACCAAACACTGATTTTAGTCACAGTCACATTTTGTAATCAATTAATCCCGAGTCGGTACGTAGCGCCGTGCGAGGGTACTAATTCCGGTGGGCGATATAGTACACCAGGGTCCAGGGTATTTCGACAGACCATAGTCGACGGTGACGGTCAACGACGGAAAAACACGTAAAATTAATATCTAAGTATTCTACGAAATTCTGAGCGCGCAATGCGTGACGGTAGTTGATTAATAAGCAACTTTGAGTTGCGATATCGCTCTGCTTAGAAACGATTTTGTTTGTAAGAAAACATTGCCGATTCTTTTTACTTCTTTATTAAACTAAATCGCTCCTGAACATGGCGAAATCACAACTAAAATTGGCCTTGATAATCCACACTACGGTCACGCATTGCGCGCTTGAAAGCTATAAGGGTAAAGGTCTATTAGGTTGGAATTCCATTGGAGACAGTACTTAGCTATGTGAAATGTTTATGTTATACTAACCCTCGATAAGTTCAACCTCGCTCACTTGTTGCTCGCCCTCATGGAAATATCTCATTCGAAAGTTCTAAAGAGATGAGATGAGTATATGAGCTGAAGAACCAGCGAGAACGAATGATATAATTGTCTCACAATATCTATTGAGTTTTTTGAGATATATATTGTCGGATTTCACGAAGTACGTTATCAACAGTTCGGTTTTAAATTGTTTATCTTTGACAAGATCGGAGACAAAAGACTGGAGTATCCGTTGTCGTTCTTTCAAAATACTTTTTTCCCACACGTACCTATTTCAGTGAGCACGGATGGCAAAATTGCTATCTTAGATCCAGAAAGCGGAACTTTATATACTGGAGACAGATATGCCGAGTTTAACAACTCTAGTTTCAATACGAGTTTTCAAATAAAGAAGCTGTCAAATTTTTCGTCAAGCAAGACAACAGTCAGACTGGTGCGCGCACGGTACTTAAACAATAAGATCATCCTCGCAAGTGCTTCCAGAACTCTTTACATCTGCGCGGAAGATGGACGAGTGGATCACAAGTTTAAGATACCAGAACGCAACGCGGTCATTGATTCGATCGCAATCAATTACGTCACGGAACGCATTCTTGTTAAAGTGTCTAACAAAGAACAAGTTTACCGTTTCTCGGAAACTGGACAGTTCATAGACAGTTTATGTTTGGGAAGCAACGAGTGGATTCATGATGCTGTTTTGGCTTCACATCCAAATGGCGCGGTTGCCTTAATTGGTAAAACAGAAGCAACCTTTCATCATTAGTTGCATATAAAAATTTTTGATAAACATATAGCTATCTCTTTTCCCAATTGCGAAAAAATCTTGCGGGCATTTATTTTTCAGTCTCGTTATTTACCCTAAAGGAGTAATG